TACTTATTAAATTTATATTACTATGAGTGAACTGAAGAAGTGATCATGAAACTACCTTCTATGGTTTTCATTACAACGATGATTATAATTATGTAAAATATAATGATACTTCACAAGTACCTGATAGTTTTATTAAAAATGTAATGTAACTCATACTTATATATTTTTAAATTGTGTTGAATCTATATGAGAGATATATACACAATTTAAAAAAAAAAAAATACACTATTATTGCTAATTTATTTATAAACATTTTAAAAATAAGCCAAGGTATTTGTATATTTTTGATTATTGATGTTTATTATCATAGGTAGTTAATAATCAATGGCTATAATAGTATAGCTGTGTTTAAATGTGTACAAGCTGAACTCAATTTTTTTATAATTTCAGTGAAATATGTAATGGCCTATTTTGGTGCTCTTTGACAAACCCGGAATTTAAAAAATAAAACCAATATAAATGTATATTCTTTTGGCACTTTTGGTCAATTTTATTTCTATACACACAACAATTTGTCAGAATATTTTATTATTATATAATTATATTGCGATGTTTAAAACATTTTTAATTCAAGTTTATGTTTGTTTAAAAAAAATTATATATATAACAATACATGTATTATATTCTTGTTCGAACAAAATTTTTTTTATTAAATCTTGGTACATTTTAAACGTATTTTTATATGGTAGCTATTAGTAAGTTAAACATTTTCAGGGCCTTTTTTTGTAGCTCGTCAAACGTATACTGTTTTGAATTTATGGTAACTAGTTCTAAGTGTATGGAAAAAGCTCATATTTTAAGGTGCTTCAACTAAAAATTATAATAACTTTTTTTTATAATACACAGTGTTCATACACACATATATTTATATAAATACCATATATTATACATGTGAAGACTGCCACAATTAAAGAAAATCTGATTGGAATATTATTTTGTACAATAGTCAACATAGGTATATAATATTATATTTGCTCCACATTTTTCAACTCTAATTGATCTGTTTTGTATGAGAAAAAATAGTACAAATTTTTTTTCAATGTCTATTAAACAATATGATAATTTGATCTATATTGATACAATTTTTTTTTTTTGCTATGAATAAATCTGTTGTACGATTTTTCCGCTTTGTTATTTTGTAATTATTTGTTATCGCGATAAAATAAACTAAATATTTTTATGTGAGTTTGGTTTCTGCAACACATTTCCCCCTGAAGAAATAATGCTGTCAAATTTTTTCGTAAGAATCTTAAATGTATGTAATCCCTTTTTTGCCATATTTTTTGAATACTTACTTAAATATACATAATATATTTTTCATTTACCGACATTTTACCGACGCCGATATTCAATACATTGTAATATTTGAATAATAATTCTGTATTTGTTTTTCTTTATTACAGTTACTAGTTACATGAACTAACTACCTAGGTACCTCATTAGATTAGTAAGTCGTTGCAGTTTAATTTGTTTTATTATTATTATTATTATTATTATTATTATTATTATTGTTTGACGTTAATTGTACCTATTTGAATTGAGATTATATGTTCTTGTGTGTTGTACAATTAGTACATCGTTTATATTTTGATTAAAATTAAAATTATACAAATAAAAAAAACTTATTGTGAATTTGCAAATAATTTTTTCATCCCTGCTACATTACTGTCATTATATGATATTTAATATTATTGATTTAAAGGGAACGATTTTCTGTTATTGAAGACTAAAAATATTTTTCATTTGGGTACAAATATTACAATAATAGTCTTCAACCAACCGCAGTTGCAATAGGCAATAGGCAAAATATTGGCCAAAAAAACCTATCAAATACAACAAAAAAAAGCGGGTAATTGGATGTCGCTCTGCTGTACATTGGGTGTCTAGAAGGTCGCTGTAATGGATGATATTAAATTTGAATTAAATGATATATTATCATAATTTTATATATTTTTAACTACAAAATCATTTTCAACTTTCAATTTGACAAATATTGTCAACATTGTTCTTTAAATGATTATAAAAAAAATGGTGCCCATAAATTTTTAATATTTTTCAACTGCTATTGTAACAATATATCAAGAGTGTATAAAATTTTCATGTCTTTTGACTCAAACAGTACAATTTTATTGACATTTAGAGAAAAACAATGAAAATTAATAATGTCCGTCAACAGCTTAAAACAAGTCAAAATATTTTGAAAATTTCATCAAGTATACGAATTGATGAAATAAACATATGTTGTATATTTCAAGTGTCTACAATTGTTCGTTTTTGAATTATAACAAAATAAGAAAATCGTTACATGAGAAATTGAGTGATTATCAAATGTTGTACACATTTTAACTCCAAACGTTCATAAAAATTTAATTTGACTTTCCAGTTTCCGGTAGAAATTTTTTTTGATAAAGGTATACAACCTTATAAGGAATCTTGTATTACATTTTTAAATCTTAGGTATAGAAAGAAAATTTTTATGAATTTCTAACCCAAAATAATGATCTAATTTTCTTGAATTTTAAGAATTTTGTCAAAATTCTAAATTCAAACACTCATAAAAAAATTATTGTGGATTAACGTTCATTTTGGTTTTTTAATTTCCGCTAACAATAAGGTACGAGGAACCTTGTATACATTTTAAAGTTTTTTGACAGAGCGAAAATTTTTTTATAAACAATATAGTTTAAAATAAACAAATAATAATCAAAAATTTCATATGCCTATAAATATTTTAACACGAGTCAAAATATTTTGAAAATTTTGTAGCGTATAGAGAATGGTAACACAAACATTCAGTGAGAATTTCATGTATTTATGGTAATTTTTTTTAGATTAAAAAACAAAGTCGATTTTTTCGAAAACTGGTTATGCGTAAAAATTCCCATTTTCCCTTTTTACCCACGAGTTTTGTTGTCTCCGTCTTACCAACTTACGACATGGCAAATTTTCGTTCACTAGTTTGAATAGTGTGCAGTTTGTTTTGTTATTAGAGTGAATTTAAGTATACTATCAAACTTTTAGGTAAGAACATTATGTATGCTTAAGCGTCGGCTGATTTTCGATATTTTCATTTTCAAGCGAGATACGAGTATGTGAAATAACAAATTAAAATATTCAAAAATCCTCCGACGCTTAATCATAGATAATGTTCTTACAGCCTTATCTAAAACTTTGATATTAGGTCAATTCACTCTAATATCAAAACTAACAGCACACTATTGAAACTAGTGAACGGAAATGTTCTATGTCGTCCATGTGTGAGACGGAAACAACAAATGGCTCTTAATTTGTTGTTTGTTTTTCCTGTCGCTTTTGGAAAATATTGGGAATTTCAAATTTTGACTTGATTCATTTTCTTATCAGGAAAGCTGCTGTTGAAGAAATCGAAGCACTTATACTGCCTCAAACCGTGATGACGGTAACAAAAAGATTAAACATTGTAAAATCAGTACATTCATTGCTTAGCTCAGAATCTAAAATATACAAATTAGTAAATTATATTAATAAACTAATATTAATTACAATAAATTTAACACCATCATTAAATTTATAGCCCTCGTGTATTCAAAATTTGTCATCACTTATGCTTGGCCTTTAGTTTAATTGGTGACTCAAAAACGGTACCTAGTTATATTGATTCTGCCATTTTTTTTTATCAACTCTGCTGTCTATATTCATATAATATAAAAACAAAGCAACTTAACTATTAACTTTTTTTTCCTGTTTAATCGACAGCAGAGGAAGCTCTGTTGTAACAAAACTACTTCTCTGCTGCTAACTTTTAACTTAATTTAAGTTATCAGGTATTATCATGAAATTGCGTGACGTGTGCCTGGGATTACTAGATATGTGGAAAATCGATTTTATTTTTTCCAAAATTTTCAAAATGTGTAGGTTGGTTTAGAAGGGTGGTGGTCATAACCACACACATTCAAAAAAAGGTCGTCGTTCAGAATAGCATACTCTTTTATATCAATACCGCACAGTTTTCTCAAAATTATACTTTTCAGTACTGCATACGCTGATATTTATCAATAACGCACACATTTATTTAAAATCATATTATCGTTTACACTAGATACTCATATTTAAGTATTTAACCAAACTTACAAAATAATAAAAACCAATACTATGAATAGGTACATTTCAGGATTATTTCAATCTAAACATAAATTTTTTTTCATCAAACAATTTTTTTTATTTCAATTGGTATTGAGTTAATTATAAATAAAATAATTCTTATACATAAATTAAATTATTTTTACAACGATTTATTTAATGTCAATGGATGTTTAATTTTTAACTTTCAATCAAATGTGTGCGATTTTGAATTATCGAGCTTCCAAATTTTCATTTCTAACAATTGAAAAAATGTGTATTGAACGGTGTGAAATGTGGGGTCATGAATGATAAGTGTGCGGTTTTGAACGGCTCCTATTGCGTAAATCTAGAAAAGGGAACGAAAAACTCGCCACACCCGTATTTAGTAGGAAGGCATACTACTTGCTATATCTACATCTAAAACAATGTATTTTTTTGAAAATAGTATTTAAGGCAATCAATGTTTTGAAATGGACAGCTTTTATAACTTTTCAAAAACGTTGGGCTCTGCGGGTTGCAATAGGTTTCCTGCGTTTGGATTGCCGCTTGACGACCGGGGTACTTATTTCGTGTAACTGTATCGTGTAAGACGTACTTGGGGATTCTTATTTATTCATTAGTCCACCTCGCAGCCGACCCTACCTATAACCAGGTGCCATGTATGCAATATCATCATAATATTATATCATGACGACGTGACGTGTACACTTACCTACTTTGGCGGTGCGCGCGTGGAGCTCGCGGGCGCATAAAATAATAATACATAATATTGTGCGGGCCGTTCTTTTTTCCCCATACAAGTACAACGGGACGGTTTTAGTTGCAACATGATATTGGCGAACGACGGCGAATGCCTTCGAAAATAAAACGTTTATAAATAGAACCGAAGTCGTATGGAGGGGTGGCTGCAGCCGAGCAGCGGGTCAGCAGCCGAGGTGCACTTCAGTCGATATTCGTTCGCATCGCCTTCCGAGGATACACGTGCGAACCGAACACAGTCCATTCACGATTTGAACGCGCACTCATTAAAATGGTGAGTTCACACTTGTTTATTTTTATTATTAATTATTATAAGTAAATCATGAACTTGTGATCTGGGAAGTGCGTTTTTTGTTCGGCAGTCGGTACAGTCAACCGATCGTCGGGATAGCTACATAGAAGTGATGCATGCTTAGAGAAAAAAAGTTGAAATTGTTACGAGGAAAAAAACTGTCTTATTAATCAATTTGTTTTATACTGAAAAGTTAAAATTGCTATTTAAATGCAGATGGAACTTTTATTTTTTATGTTTATAATATTTTTTAATTATTTTGGTACTTTGAATTATTTCACTCATACGCTCAGGTACATAATAATTATATTAGGTATTGTATTATACTGTTATTATAACAACACAATAAGCAGTAATTTGATATTATCGACAAGACAGTACTTCATTATTTATAATTTAATATGACCATTGACCACTGATATTTTGTCCCATGATATTAAGTAGATAAGCATATTTTTCAGCCATTACCTTCTTTATAGTTTATACTAGATACTAAGTTTCAAATTGCTTTTCTTTTAACTGACATTAAAAACTTTTTGCTAGGAAGTATAATCATTATTTCAATTAGCAATATGTCCCCTTTTTTTGTTTTATAACTAAATAGTTCAAATTTTAAACAGTCAAACCGATTAGGACTGCAACCACAAAATGCTGCAAGAGCAGCCAATATAGGACGATTATAAACCGTACCAGAATATTGTTTTACTGAGTAATTTCTGTACATAGATATAACAGGTATATTATAATATACATAGTATGGGCCACATTTAGTCGGTTTACACACACAATTTTTAATTTATTACCTTAAAATTGTCAACGCTTATAAAATGAACTTTTGAATTGTCTCTTCGTATAAGGTATCAATAATATAAACTTTTTCCAAAAATAAACTATTAGGTATGTTATTAGTTACCATGACTAAAAAACACGCCTTTTTGCCTCAACTGTTTTTCCATACTAAAGGTTTTTGTTTTTTTTTCTTAACAGGAATTGTCCAAGGACGATATTGAACGTAAGTACAACCACAAATATTATCTATAATAATTAATAATAATATTTAGCATATATGAACCTATAATAGGTGCCTATACGCGTAATATTTCTGTCCTTTAAACTATTAATAATTGTTCGACGTTTTAGGCGTGAACTTCATCTGGAACATCTATGACAGCACCAATGAAGGCGTTGACGCTTTCTACTTGGGAGATCTGCTCCGTGCTTTGGAAATGAACCCAACATTGGCCACCATCGAGAAGATGGGTGGAACCAAAAAGAAGGGTGAGCGTAGAACGATTATATGAATTTATATGTGAGCCATCGCGCAATATCTGATTAGTGATTAGTGACACAATAACAAGATACTAATTACACGTGGTTGTGCGTTTTTCGCGAACAGGCGAAAAGAAATTGATGGTGGAAGAGTTCTACCCAATTTACGCTCAAGTGATCAAGGACAAGGACCAGGGAGTGTACGAAGATTTCATTGAGTGCTTGAAACTATACGACAAAGCCGAAGACGGTCACATGATCGGTGGTGAACTGACACACATCCTCCTCTCCTTGGGTAAGTGGTCGCCGTCATAATATTATATTCGTATTCGAACTCCCCGTATAATATTATGCCCCACCAACAATGACCTCCTAACCGCAGGCTGATGTCCTATTTTTATTTGTATGTCTGTTTCGCGTTTGTAGGAGAGAAATTGTCCGACGCGGAACTCGACGAAGTCGTCAAGGACTGCATGGACCCTGAAGATGAGGACGGTATGATCCCCTATGTCCGTGAGTAATCGATATTTTTTTATTTTATGATACGAATACTTAATTTATTCTCTGTACACCTAAATCGTGTTTCCAGTGCGGTGTCGAACGAAAGTTTGTACACCCACCGGCAACGTTCATCTACCAATTGTCTATTTTTATATCCAATACCTACCTGTGCCAAAACCTGACCACCTTGATCGAATGTTTTTCAGCGTTCGTTAAAAAAGTGATGGTTCGTCTGAGGGATATGAAATAAATTCCATTTTAAGCGTTTAACGTAAAAAAAAAAACAAAAAAAAACCATAAAAAAATTTTAACTACCCGGACCACTATCTGTAAGTGTAAAGAAACCGTTTTGAGATACGCTGTTGTGATGTCATTGCGTTTTTCTCTGTTCAACGCAAATCGCTTGTAAAATAATAATATATATAATGCGTGTATGCAGTGAGTGTGCAAGGCGACGACAATGGACTCTGGTCTTGCTCAGCTTCCGTAGTTGTATTAATCATAATATAGTTCTTAACTTTCATCGTCGATTTCGAGCAGAAATTTTTTTTTTCGAGCGTGTATCGCGGACACGTATACTGTGAATCCTGCAACAACGCGGTGTCTAACGCTTTGACAATATCACATGTACTAGCTATTGCCTACACATGCCGCATCCGTCGTAGTAGGAGCTTTTATGTTTTTTTTCTTGCCATCGATCGGCGCGTAAAATGTTTTATCGGTGTGCGCCGAAGAGCGGAGCTGCATAATACTTCTCGAAGGAGAAAAAAAAAATCATAATTTGTTTTGCCATCATAACGAAATACCGCTTGGGATGATGTAATATAGACGCTTTTATTTTTAAACTGCCGCGGATCGTATTGTAACGACGAGCGGTGCGTTATATAATACCGCCGTAGATAAAGTGTTTATACAGCTATTGCCATTACTATATTATTATACTGACCGGACAGCGCCTCTATAAATATAAATATTTATTTTCACGCACATTTTTTGTGCGATTGTCGCTGTCCGTCCGCTTTTGCTTGGTTGGTTTTTTTTTTTGGTTCTTTTCACCATAGCGTTGCGTTGCTCGCGACGTGCTGGTCTATTTTTAGAGAAAACCGTATTCTAAACTTGGCGCCGTCCGTTTTTTTTTCGTTTCAGCGTTTCTGGCCAAAGTTTGCGGAAAGCCCGTACCGGCCGATGACAACCCGTTCAACAAGTAAAATCACACGCGCATCGCTCCGACAAAAGCAAATACACGTTATTATTTATTTATTATTATTAATATAATTATTATTATTATTATTATTGTTGTTATTGTTGTTGTTTTCTGCACCCACGCGCGCACGTCATTCGAGACGATAATTATTTATTATTTGTATTGTTAAAAACAATTTAAGATGGTTTTTGAAAAAAAAAACATTATATTTTGATTTGAATACCATACGAACAACGAATGATAATAATAAAAAAAAATTTAAAAAAAATCTGGAAATCTGTTGTTCGATGTACCCAACACGCATCGTCATGCTCGTGTTCGTTTTCAATTAATTGTATTTACTTAATCGACTTTTCTTATTTTCGTATTTTACCGGCTGGTATATAATAGTTGCAATGGTGCCAGCTACAGATTTAGTTTTAGAATCTTGGCTGGTCAAACACTATAGGTTACCAAACATCATACCTGACGCTGTGCCAATTTTAAAACATCGCTAACGACGAATCTGCTTACTCCTGTAATACGGCGCTTCGCTTATGCAATTCTTAGACGTCGGTGTATTGCACACGCACCGACGAAAGCGTTATACGTTAGACGCAGTCACGCCATACTGACATGATACATTGATATTCATTATTATTATTATTATTATTATCCTAACTAGGATTTATATGCAAAATAAAATAGAACCTAAAATACGAACTTTATATTGTTAGAATATGCTAAAATGAGCAATAATAACACACAAAAGCAATTTAATACAGAATAAATTTACCAATAATTTAAAAACCATAATGAAGTGTAACATAAGCATCTTAAAATTAGAAAATAAATTGAATCAAATATTTTTATTATAACTAAATGATTTTAGCCGTTGCTATTATTAAATTATTTTCAATACATTTTATAAATATTTTTGTCGAAGACCAAATAACTTTTTTTAAAACATGCCATAAAATTATACCTTAAATATGATAAATATGCAAAATACAACTAAAAAATATTTTAATTGTATCAATGTTAGGCGATTTGTGGAAATTGCTGACCAAGTTATTGATAGTTTGTTGCAAACTTAACATGAAAATTAATATAAATTTTCTAGCCGTATACGTATAATACTTTTCTATATCTGAGTATTCAAGTTTCCAATACAAACATCATAATATATTTAATTGTTATGATAGGTGGGTATAATTTGTTAAGAGTATGGAATAATAATACAAATTGATTTGGTAATCACAAATAAATATTATAACGAAATAGATCATGCTAAATATATCCAAAACAAGGATATTAAAGACGTGATTTTTTACTCTAGTTAGAGTGCAGAATATGCTCAAAGTTTAAATCAGTGAGATGTATATTAGCAAATTGATGATGTCTTCTAACCACTGAAATAATATAATATGGATTTAATATTTATTTTGTTCACTTCATTGTATCTTTTTGTTGTGTGCCTCGTGGTGTATGGAAACCTCAACAGTTATTTTTTCAATAAAAAAATTGGCCATGAGACACTTTTGATGCTTTGGTTAGCCACCAGCTATGTATCACTGTTGTAGAGTAAAAAATAGATTCGCTATTGTTCATCAATTAAATCTCAAGTGTCGTTAGCAAGTTCAAAATTCAAGTATTTATTTACTAGCTGTAAAAATAAATAAATAAATATCATATTTTATACCTTTATGCTCTTTCTACCATTCCAGAAGTACTTAATATAATATTTTGAAGCGATAATCAAAATATTAAATATGTGTTATTATTTTTTAAAACAATAATTTTTACACTCCAATTATGGCTTAAATAATATTATGAGTTTTTAATAATAGCAAAACTTTTCGATTGATTGATTGATCGAATAATTTATAAATACACAAGACAAGTTGATTTGTTAACATAATAATGTTGTAACAATACATGTGAATGTAAGTTGACAGTAACGGTATTCAAGCGTTTTTACAGTGTTTAATATCAAAATATACTAACACATATAGTAACACATGGGAAAAAAACTATTGTAAAACTAATAACTATACAAACATTCAAAATGTATAGGTACGAGTACTACTATACAATAATATTATCCTTACTAACTAGCCATAGTGTAGGTATAGGTAAGTACACAATACTACAATAGATTTATTCTCATATTATTTATGTTTCGACGAACGCATAGAAAAAATGGTTTAGGTACTGCACTTATATGGTAGTGTTTCGTGTGCAATTTAAACAACACAGTGACGAGTATTATATTGTCGTAAAAATATCGTGGTGCCAACTTAGAGCACGATTTACGTCCAAAAACGTTTATTCTTCAGGGCGTGCAAATAAATAGTTAAATATATTATATAGGTCATTGTCTATTTGTGCTGTCAATTACTTTTTCAATAGACAGTTAATATAATACTATATGACTTTATATTATGACTTTTATGATATAATCAAATATGTTCGTATGAAACGTAGGTATTCAATTCTTAAAAATGCATGGACTAACGACGACGATAAATATAAATAAAGATAGACAAAAATGAGTATACATTTTAATATGCAAATAATGTTATCCATAAAGGCGACTGACAACTATCTGAAGTCAGATTTGAGCGTTCCGACATATTATTTGGAGCACATATTCAAATTAAGGTTTTTAAATCGATTTCAGAGGAAAATGAAAGTATCATCTTTGCATGCAACGAGTAACGACTTCATAAGTATAATAAATTAGCTCATAAAATAATGAATCTTTAAATTGTGCATATTATTATTTCTGACCAAAGAACATCTCATTTCAAAACCAAATTCGTTGAATACGATTCATGTAAGTACTGATTTACGATTTATGATTTTTAATTGATTACAATGGCTTTTATTTTATTATCAATATCAATTAATTAAATATACATTTAGGTATCATGCTTGTTGACTCTTTAAATAAAACCTAGCACAATAAAAAATATTGTGATGATGGAGAACTTACTATACTCAGCCATATATTTACTACCTCTAAAATACTACACACATACATTTCCAATGCAAGAGGCCTGTAGTGGGGTGTGATATTATTATAAAAATCTACGTTATGTTATAAAAAAATGTCAAGTTTTTATATAGAGAGAAAATCCAAGGGGGAAATTTTAACCCTTCCCCGCGTCCACGTGTGTGTACTGACGCATATGTATACATGTACTTTTAGTAACCTGAAGTGACTAGAATATTAGATAAATATGTATAATTATAATTAGTTCATCATGAATGATCCAACACATTTTGCCGACCATTAAATTAATACATTTTTTATGTAATCCGATATTAAAGGACTTCGTTTTTCATATAATATACACACCCAATGTTGATTTTCTTAAATGTATTGTCTATATAGTGTGTGCAAAGAAACCTTTACCAAAATGTACAGTAATTTTCACGAAAGTTCTCTTAAAAGTGGTTTTATACCTATAATTATAATATGCAGGTCAAAAACGCTATCAGTATTAGTTTTCTAATCTATTTGTTGTGATTTATTAACTAGCAAAAATAAACGCGTATTATAATAACAATATTTATACTGGTGCAGTGGATCGCGTTTAATACTGCGCGTGTGATGTGATCGTAAAGCAGCGTAGCAACAGTTGCGATTTGATAACATAAATAACAATATATGCAGTAGCCGTGTGACTTTGTATAATATATTATACGGTCGTAAATTCGCGGTCGACACGCGTGTGGTTCTTAATCGTGTTCATCATAAACGACTCGTATAGTATACCTGCCTGCCTGCCTGCCTGCCTGCCTGCCTGCCTGCCTGCCTGCCTGCCTGCTGTGCCCCACGTTTAGCATATTACTCCACCTTCGTTATCGTATCGTTTAATATACCTACGATGTGTACGTTCAGGATAATAATGTTGTGTCGCTTTTCCCAACGCCGCCGAGGGTGCATCCACAAATGCCCCGGAGAATCTGCATTCCAAATTAAAATCTGTTCATTTGTTTTTTAGAATATATTTCACTGCTCGCGTTTTATGCCTATAGGTCGGTATACTCGTATTTCTTATAATATGCGCCTGCATAATAAAACGAATGTACGAATAGGTACCTATGACGAGCCTTTAATTCGAATCGGAACGTAATTGTTGCTCAATCGAATGTGATATTTTCTTATCTACCGATCATAAGCTTATCAGTTATCACACGAGGATCTACACGGACGTCGCCCGCAGTAATTTCCAACCTTTTTTAAATGTAGTGAATATATAGGCGTGGTAGCATAAGTCGGAGTCGTTTGCTCAACTATTGCGACAAAAAAGCGTTACGGGCGTGTTTTACTCGACTCTATAAGGTTTCTATGGTAATAAATAATAATCTATTTGTTTTATCTTTGTACAATAATAATAGTAAATTAATTTAAATTTAAAATTTAATTTTTATTTTCCAATACAAACGTAATTTTTGACATTGATGGGCGATAACTTTTTTTTCATACCATTGTTTTGAACATAACACTTTTTGTTTCACTTCATCCACGCGTATTGTTGCAACACGCACTTTTTTGACTCACGATAACCTAAAGTATATTCTACCAACATGGAGACACCCTATAAAGTAGTATATCGTGAGTTTATATTTTATAACATCGAATTTTTTTTTAGCTACGTGTGAACACAATGGATTTTTTATAATCGGTGTTATTAAATTAAACACACATGCTATATCTCTCATAAAACGTTTTTTTTTGTAATTTCGAAATATATGTATGATAGTTCTGTATTTTAAATAATTTCACCGCACCCTATAGGGTGACTGCGGTCTACAGTTGTATGCTACCCACACGCGCTGTTGGTGACCACTTTTAATCTGGCTCTGCAGTTCAACTCAGCGGGCTATTATATAGTATGGGAATGGTAACAACTTCCTCGAAGAATTAAATTTATTTTACACCATAGGTACCCACAATAGCATGCGAAATGTCAATCAGTTATATTAAGTTATAAATTTGGATCAATGCCAATCGATTTTTACTAATCAATTTAAAGAACGAGAACAGGTTAGAGTTTTGATGATTCGGTCATTGGTTTTGTCTAACATTATTT